CTTAATTGTCTGTTCCTTTTAACTATGGCTGTGTCCAGGCCAAGTGACTCAGGTTCCAGTCTGGCCTGCTGAAACTAACTCAGGTTCAACTGTTACCTCTCATAACAAGAAGGTTTTGGTTTGAAAAATCTTGAATAACTTTATGTTCTTTAATACTTAAGGCTTTATAAACAAGATTCCAAACAGAAGACAGTACTATCTTGAAATGAGTGAAGTGGGTTGGGATTCAGTCTAGATACTATTAGACATACTGTAGATTCAGTCTCTATACAGTTACTGTTTGGTTAGCTTTCTCTTTCATTCTGTTACCACACTACAGTAAGTGTCTGTAGGGAAGGACATCTGCCCTTAACCTCCTCTGTTGCTTCCTTTGGGAGTCTGCAAAGGGAAATTCTTTAATTTGTTTCTACTTCAGAGTGACAACAAGAAAGCACATAATTATGCTTGTGTTTTTAATTATTTACAAATTAGTAAGAAGTAGTACTTCAAGCTTAAAAAAAAAAAAACCCAAGGGAAAGCTGTAAGTGGGAACCTGACTCCAATACTAAGTGCAGTTAGAGAACAAGCAGAATTTGCCTGTGGTAATCCAGGCTAAGCAGAGAGACTGTTTTTCCTTGTTTGCCTATGGTTTAGCTGTGCCCGAAGAGCAGATTTATACAGTAGGTACCTTTGGCACTGGGAAACCAGAACAGCTGCTTAACTATGGTAGCTGTAGGTGCTTACCTTACAATAACTGTGGGGGTTTGAGTCATCGTTAACATTTGAGAGACCTCCGTGTCATTTCTGCCCTCACATTCCTCAGCTAATTTTAGGTTTTTGAGTGTTGACAAAATGAAGGTATGTGTGATCTCTGCAGGTATTAGTGTTTCAACCAAAATTCTGAGTTAATACATGGCATCCTGTGCTTTTCCAAAAGGAACCCTGCCAACTGTGGTGAAGATTTACAGTTTTTGTAGAATAATCTGCCTTGCATTCTTGATTAATCCTTGCAGTCCCAGTGTAGACTAGAGATGGCTATTGATTTTCACAGCAGTCCTGCTAATGTAGCTTGGGACTGACTACCCTTGCAGCAGTGTGAACATGAGTAGATGGAACAAGACTTGTTGCTTCTCATTCTGTTCTTCAAAAAAGAAAACAAAGGAAGAAAGAAATCAATCCCAATTCCTGTTTTTCTAGATCAGACAAATCCCACGTCAGCAGGCTGAGAACAGATGGAAGTGACTACACCTGCTGTGTATTTGTCCGGTTTATGAAAAAGAATTTGGTGGTGTCACTCGGTACAAAAATAAACTGATGTGTTAGACAATATAAAAACATTCCAGTCTTTCCCCTCAGAAGTCCTGTTACATGATGAATTTGTGACATTATGAAACATTGCTTTCTGTAATTCTCTGTATTTTTTCACTGTACATTTGATCACCTGTGCTGACTGAGGACTGTTGTGTGGTAAATGCCAGCAGTGGCTACCCAGAGCTCCCATGTTCAAGATCAGATCCTTTGTATATACAGAAACTGCAAAACAGTAGTTCTTAATGCAATGATGTAGTTGTTTGGCTGCCCTCTGCTAATCCTTTCTTCACCCCTTACTATTTTTACATCTATATATGTGCAGCATTAATATGCATGATTGAAGTTGCTTGGCTTGCTGTTCCAAAGGATTAAAATAAACCTGTATGTGGCAAGGTAAGGGGATGAATATAAATGCCAGAGACAGCTGGGCTGCTTTGGTAATCCCCATTTCTCCATCTTTTGTGAGGTGGTGAATCCAAGTTTATTTTTCCAGTAGCGTGCCAAAACGTTCTTTGAGTTGTTCATCACCGTTGGATGGAAAGGATGCTGAGCTGCATTTTGAGAATGAATTCTGTGGCTGAAGAGAACTTGAATATATAGTCAGACACGGTTACCTTTAAGGACATTAGTGTGGGGAGGAGCAGTGGTAAATGCTTACTTTAAAAATGAACAGCCCTCTAGTTCTCTTCAGTTAAACAGAACAAATTGCACTTAAGGCCGTTGTTGTAAAGGACGGTGTTAAAGCAGTGCATTAGTGTAAAAGGATTTTAAATCTCTGAACAATAATGAGGATGTCCAGAATGTGTTTATATGGAAAAGTGCCTCACTCTTTGAGAAGTAATTTTCTCCTGTTCGCTGTACAGAGACTTAACTCTCCAGTGCCCAGATGGGCTGCTAGAGTCATGTGATCGGTAGATAATAATTTTTGCCTAATTTATATAAATGTTCTCTCTTGTAGCTATTTTTATACCAGATTCTCCGTGGTTTGGCATACTGTCATAGGCGGAAGGTTTTGCATCGAGATCTGAAGCCACAAAATCTACTTATTAACGAGAAAGGAGAACTGAAGCTTGCAGACTTTGGTATGGCCTGAAATTATTCTCTAATAAATTTTTTTTACTCACCAAGAGGCACATTTTTCCTTATAAAGGAGAAATGAGTATGTTGAGTCTGTAGTGAATTTGGGCGTTCTGAAATGGAAAATGAAAGTCAGAGTATTAGTAATCAAAGTAATACCTGTATAGGTAATATTGTCACTTGACTTGTGATTTGAAAGTAGTCTTAAAGCTTGCTTTGAAATTGATGCATAGTCAAATCGTTGAGGTGGAGCTCAGCTTGCTTCTCCTAACTCCACAGTCACTCTAAAGCAGGGTTAGCCATGATATGATGGGAGAGAGGAAGGGTTTGTTCATGTGCTAAATTGTAAGGTGTTGCTCCATCACTCTACACGAAGTTCCTTTGGGATTTACAGTAGAGGGGAACATTCAGTTTACTGTTACCTTCTGTGTCCAGAAGGTCCTTTATAAGTTGTGGTACCACTGATTGTTCCCCTTGTGTGTGAATGGGGGTTGCTCAGGAGATTGTAGCTAACATGAGAGACCTGAATTTTATTAACTACATTACTGACAAATTGGCAATGTTAGAATGGAAAATCTCTGCTGATCCAACACTGGTTTGGTCTGTTTCTTCAGTTTCATAATTCATTTGTTGCCTTCTACCTTTTGCAACATAATTCGCCAATAGTAATAGTGCAGAAGGGTTTTTGAAGCAGTAAGTTTGTTGCATTGATCTAATGCTTTTTTGATTTAATGCAGTTTATAGGATTAGAACAGGTTTTGGTCTGTTTACCTGTCTTCTGTGCTTAAAAATGTGAGATTGCCATAAATACCAAAAGGCAGATCACAAGTTGTATAAATATATTTATTTATTAGGGCCTTTTAATGAACATTAAGAGAAGGTATTTAGCAGGTATAACAAGGTTGATTTAGCTCTTATAAATACTTTGTCAATTTCATACAAAAAGGATTTCAGCAAGCTGCATGACTCTTCCTTTCCCTTTTTATCAAGGATTGGCAAGAGCGAAGTCTGTTCCTACAAAGACCTATTCCAATGAAGTTGTCACATTATGGTACAGACCACCTGATGTTCTCCTTGGATCTTCAGAGTATTCAACTCAAATTGACATGTGGTTTGTATAGCTTTGTCTTAATTGAAATTTTTGTTCTGAGTCAAGTTGAAAAACCAGCAACCCTCTTATTATATAATAACATTCAAACACTCATCCTTTGCATTTTTGAAGGCTACAGCTGAGATTCTTAGAGAAAGGTTTGGTAGACTGGGGAAGGTGCTATTATTTCTCTCTGAAAATGTAGAGTACATTGCATTGTACTTTGGTATTGTACCGAAGTATTGGTATTTGGTACTTACTCTGGTAAGCAAGCATTAAAAAAAAGAACAAACCATCCTAACAACGTGAGAACGTGGTATTTTGCTGTGAACTTTAATCCAGTTGCTCAACTTGTCATCTGAAGGAAGAGAATATAATATAGCTATGATACAGGTTTTGTTTAGTCTTTGGCAGCTCTTTTGTTGCTACACACATCTTTCGAAACAACGTTTTTCATAGTAGCATGTGGCTAACTGCTAATTTCCTCATTTGTTTTAACTGAAGTCCCAGAAGTCCCAGCTTTATCTTTTTCTGTTTTTATACAGGGGCGTTGGCTGCATATTTTTTGAAATGGCGTCGGGAAGGCCTCTGTTTCCTGGTTCAACTGTGGAAGATGAACTGCACTTAATTTTCAGGCTCCTCGGTAAATGGAGACTTTTAGCAGTAAAGTTAATGCTGTGTGTTTGTATGAGAACTGTAGATCTTTACGTATAAACAATGACATTTTATATTGCATTGTAATTAAGGTGATGAAAAACGATTCAGCTGAGTTTGCACAGCATCGACTCATTGATTTTATTTCTTTCTTGTTTAAATGACAGGATTAAATGCTTATTTATGTCAAAGTTCTTTGTTTACATTTTCTTAAGTTGAATTTGTTGCTGCTTTTAAATGCAGGAACTCCATGTCAAGAAACATGGCCAGGCATTTCTTCCAGTGATGAATTTAGAAACTACAACTTTCCTAAGTATAAACCACAACCTCTCATCAACCATGCACCAAGGTACTTTGTGTTTTGTTAATAGAAAGTATGCGTCCCTGTGGCTTTGCACATTTGTGAATGGGAATATGTTTCCAAGTACAGTCTGCTACTGAATGCTGGAAAAATGCACATCAGTTGTGTTGTTGTGGGCAGGTGGTAGTGCAAAGCAGAATCCTGGTACTGTGTGATCACTCTGTCTAATATTGTAGGTACCACACCTCCTTAGTGACCTATAGAACTATAAACTCTAATTAATAATGTCTTTGTAGTAGTATTCACACAACACTTCCTAGATATCCCAGATTCTCTTCTGGTCGTATGATAGGCCCAGGCCATGGGTTAAAATAGCCAAGTTGCTTTGAGCAGTTTCCTGAAATCATTTTAAAAACATAATGAGGAAGCTGAAGGGTCTGTTCAGTTATTATAAATAAACTTTCTAACAAAGACTACAACATTTTTTTTGTTGACTTGGAAGAAGATGATCTGACATTGTGTCATTCTAGTAAATGAGTAGTGTTAAGCTTTTATAAAATAATTTTAAAAATTTTCAACTGAATGATCAGGTCAGCCTAGTAAATCACAGTCCAAACTCAGGATTTGTCTATCCCCAGTGTCTTCAACTAGTCTTGTTTTGAGATATTGGTACTCATATGTATATGCAGTGACATGCATAAATGTTGTTTAGGTGAAAGCATTTCTATGTTTAAATTTCATTTTCAGGTTTGATATCATTTAATTTAGTTCCTCAGCAGTTTTACCTCTGTAAATATAGTTCAATAACTGGAATCCTTAAAAATATTTTTATTTTCAGGCTAGACACAGAAGGAATTGAATTGATAGCGAAGTTCCTGCAAGTAAGATTTGTTTCGTGGCTTTCCTTTATAATGCAAATTTAGAGTTTTAATATATTGTTTACCAAATGTATTGGAAGCTGTAGTGTCTGTTAGATCTCGGAGTGGAATGTGCAGCTGAGTGTGTAGTTGTTGACAGATCTGGGAAGAATGACATTTGGGAAGCCAGTGTACTGTGAGGATGAAAAGTACACATCAGGTTTTTTCCCCCAGAACTGATTTCTTCTTATCCTACGTTTTGTAAAAGTAGAATTATTCTACGTTAACAGTTCTCTGAAAAAAACCTAAATCTCTTGTGAAATATGGTATTAAACCAGAACTTTTAAATACAAATACTAAATCTCTGTAAGGATGAACTGATTTTAGTACTAGAGAAGGAGTTACTAAGGTGTAATATTACTCTTTGATGTTGCAAACTATTAAAAAGGTAGAGTGGTATGTGGGTTTAATATTTTAATCTGTGTTAAATATTAGCTGGAAGGAAGATGGAAGGTCAGCTCTTAAGTCTTTGAGTAGATACAGCACTGTAACTTCACCATGTTACAAATTTTTAGTACCTCAGGTGGAGTGCACTTACTCTGCTTTGCAGCCTGGGATTTAAATTCTACAACAGGTCATCTTCTATTTACAGCTTGTGTCAGGACAGTCCTTGCAGTCCTCATTTGGACTTTGTTCTTACTGTATGCAGCTTTTTTAATGTCTGCATCACTGTCCAGAATTGCACACATAAGGCAAGCAGGAGACATCTAATCATATGCAATCTATAAATAAAGATTAAGTATATTTTTTACTTGCATCCGTTTGCAGAAGTTATTTTCACTATGTTAGCAATCTTGTTCTATGTTGGCAATACTGATTCAGGTAACATGTTAGATTTTCACGTGTGAAATAAAAGTAATGGAAACAAATTTGTTGTAGTGAGTTATGGGAAATACTGAGCAAACAGAACTGTGTCTTCGATGAAATCACTTGATGGAAAGAGTTTTAATGGAAACAAACACTCATGTACTTTTCTGTCAATAGTATGAATCGAAGAAGAGAATTTCAGCAGAAGAGGCCATGAAACATGCATACTTCAGAAGTCTTGGAACAAGGATACACACTTTGCCTGAAAGTAAGAGGAGTAGTAAAGTAGCACCATATTGTTAAGATAGTACATTAAAGCTGCACTGCCTAAGGAAAACCTCTCGAAGCTGTTAAAGAAGTCTAATACATACTGACTTAAATGTTTGTGAATAAGAAACATTTTTTAATCTGAACTATATAATTAAGAATATAATTTTGTTCAATAACACATAGTTATGTTCAGATATGAATTGATTTCTTTGTTTCATTCCAGGTGTTTCAATATTCAGTCTAAAAGAGATTCAATTGCAAAAAGACCCTGGCTTTCGAAATTCCACGTATCCAGAGACAGGTATGGAAAGCTTGGTATTTTCTCGTAGCTGCTAAAGAATGCTGTGCCAGAGGCATTTGGAACTGCAAAATGCTTTGTTAAATTGGCTTGTGTGGATGTACTCAAATAAATAGCCAAGAATGATTTGTTGAGATTGCTGTAGAGACATATAAGCTAAATGCTCAGAAGGAGGTGAGTTTAACTAGGGGTGGGCAGAGGGACTGTTAACATGGGAACATGTTCGAGTTTCAAACCATTGCTCTGCACGTGTGGATGGTGGCAAAGTGGAAAAAAATGCATTAAGTGCAGGTAACAGAAAGATGCTGATACTGGTTTAAGCACAAGGGGTTGTCTCTTGAAATGGAAAGAAGATCTAGATAATAACTTAATACTCTGTTGTGCAAACACTTCGGTTTCTTACCACGACCCATGTTCTGTTGCAGGACATGGGAAGAACAGAAGGCAGAGCATGCTTTTTTGAAGTGGGCAGTGCAGAGTGAAGCCCAAACCTGTCCTGTCGATCAAGGACTCAGATCCGAAGGCAGTGCTTTCTGTTGGTGGACTTGGAATAGCAGTTTGTCTACACTGTCCTCTTCACAGTGGAGTCTTTTTATTTCCAACCTGCAAATTATGTTTTTATATTTGTTGTCACAGTGTGACAATTTTTTGTACAGTTGGTTTTAAGGTCTCCTCTGCCACTAGAGCCAGTAGGTTACAGCTGTTGATGTAACTGTAGCTGCAATTTTTGTGCAGGACTGAGAAACACAGTGCATTATTTATTGCGGAATCATTGCTGCTAAATAACTACTGTCTGTATAGTTAACACAACAGTTCCATGCCTGAAGAAGTTGCAATGGCTTTATAATATGTGAATGCATCTGTTTCTCTTGATATAATGTTCTACTGCTGCGGGGTTTTTTTGTATTTCTTAAACTGCAGTGTTTCCTGGAATGTAAACATAGCTTTGCTTGGCTATAGGTGAGCCATCTTTAATGCTCTAAGTTCTTGGCACTTAATTCCTTATTTAACATTGGAGGTATGTGTTGAAATAGTTGAAAAATTATAATGCATATTATGTTTTTGAAAAGCACATGGTGTGAAAGTTGATTCAAACAAGTGAACAGTGACTATCATTTGCTCTCAGATCCTATGTTATCGATATATTGGAGCATGGAGGCTGGATGATAAATTTTGTCAGGCTTACTCCAACGTAAGATATTTGCACATTGTTGTGCACATGGGGCCTGCAGAAACAATTACTTTTTTACCTTGTTTTTAACTTAGAAATACAAATAGTAAAGAGGCAATTCATGTACATTGGACCCTGGCTTACTTTTAATTACAGAAGAACAGGACAACTAATCACACAAACATGGGACTAATGTCATACTTTTCCCACCTTGTTGCTCTCCCATTTGTGCATTATTCACTTGAAATCAACTGGAAAGATGCAAGTTTGTACTTGATAAGAACTCACTATGCTACAGAGCTTTTACAACGAGAACTTAGAGAGTTTTTCAGATCTTAGATGTTACCTGTTTTCCAGAGATAGTAAACATATTACTACTATGCTTATGCATCTCAGTGAGTATCATAAGTACACCTTTGGTGATGGTTACAGTATTTTTAAGCATTTGTGTTCACCTTTATGAACCTATTTGTTTAGTGCATCTTAAAGAGACTGTAAATCTTTATTGGTATATTTTGAAATGGTCATGTAAATCTTTGGCTGGTATATCATGAAAATAGTCATAGGTAACTTAATTTTTCCTGACATTCACTGTAAAGCGTTCAGGGGTCCTACCATTTCTGTTCAGGAAATCTTGTAGTTTATTGTTATTTAACAGTATTAAGTGAATTTTTGTATATTTCATTTTAACTTTATTTGTGAATAGTGATTGTGGCATGTTTGGGGGTGTTTTATTACTATTTCATTGATACTGGTAAATTTGAATTGGAATTTTTTTTTTTTATTTTCTGGAGGAGAGAAATTCATGTGTAATGGTGACTGTTGGACCACTACTGCTTTTCAGCATTTGTAAACCGGTTTTACGTTGAATCTTGTAGACCTAACAAACTGCTGTTATTTCTAACTGACCGACCTGTATTAATATTGTACTTTTGAAAGTATAAATATTATGTGGAATTCTTTGGTTTTGTTTTGAAATTTATAATAACAGAAGCCCTGTGTTGTTAAAAATACAGACTAAGTGAACTTGCAGTTCTTGGGGCATTGTTGGGAATGTTTAGGTCTGTGTGTTGTGGGAGTCCTCAGTTGTAACTTTGGCTGCTTCTTTAATTCATGCGATGCAGATGCAGAAATAGTGGCAGTGAAAAGTAGTGTGACTCATCTGTGACTGAGGCTGTTCAGGATCTTAGCAGAAACATGGTCCACAGTCCAATGATTGGTGAGCAAGTCCTGCATGTCATGTGGTATCAGAAGTCTTGCCTAGGTCTGGGAGCATAACACGTGTCTCGGATACACGCGTGGGTCTCCCACTGCTTCGGTGGGAACGTTACGTCTGTGTCAGAGGCAGGTTTGGCACTGATAAAAAACCTTGTCCTGAAATAGCTGTTATATATTTTTTTATAGTTGCTATGGATCTGATCTAGATTTTATACTGATTAACTTTGTAGGAAATATGTTGTAGATGTGATGGTGTTGAAGAAAGAAGTATCAGAAAAACATCTCCTTTTTTTACAAAAGTAGTGAAGATATAGAGTACATGTTCACTGTGGCTAAGTGTGGGATTTAGCATTTCTAGAACAGTAATATTTTAGAGGTCATAAAAGAACAAGTGAAAATGTGACACTAATGAGTAAGGACTTAAAGGTTTAACTGGTAAAATGAAGTGCATTAATAAATTTAGAAAGGGATCAGCTGCAGCTAACAAAAGGATGTTCCGTTGTAAGTAGGAATTCAGCTTTTTTGTTACAGATGAAAAGATCTTCCGTAAAGTTTAAGTACTATGTTTATAAAGAGATTTTTTCTAAGGACCTACAAGCGAATCTGTTTTCTTCATTAGGAGGTAGCTTTAAAAGAATGTATTTAAGACACTTGGCATCTGTGGTCAAGCCAGTTTGGGTTGGTTGATTTAATTGTCTGTAATTGAAATTCCTGCATCGGCAGAGGCAGTTCTGTGGCAGCTGCCTGTTTGGGGCAGCAATCAGCAAGTCTGAAGTTGCTGGGCATTTCTCTGACATCCTTTTGGTGCAGTTTGGTGTTCTGCCTCCTGTCTGGCAGAATCAGGTACTACGGACTTGGTTTCACTGTCCCCAAGAACTGTAGTGTTAGCCTTTTTGGGAGAAGACCTCAGGTGTGACGAAACCCAAGCATAGTCACTAAAATGGATGATTTCAGTGCTTGGTATGACCACCTTTGCTTGAAGATGTGATCAGGTAATAAGAAATGGCCTGCAAGTCGTGGCTGATTTGAAGCAGTTATTTTTAGAAGGTGCCTGGTGTATCCCATCTACCCCAGGGTAAGAATGCCAAGGTGCAGGTATAGGTGTGTGTAAGAGTAAGGTGGGCTTGAAGACTGGAAGGAGGCAGGTGGTGGTGATGCAGTTGCATGCACGTGCAGGTGAAGGTTGCAGGGGAGAGAGGGCGGCGGAGGACAGGGATTGACAGGACAGGGTGGGAGATGGAAGGGGCAAACCAGCTGCTCAGCAATGCTCTAGTGGAACGTGCATCTCAACATGGCTGTGTCATTTTTGTGCTGCTTTGTCACAGCATTAAGTAGCCAGAGTGTATCCCTGAACTGGGCAATAAAAGTTAAAATAAACAATTATTAAAGAATCAACAGAACTTTGTATTTGCAAATCATTTGAAAAACTGCCAGGTAGCATTCCTTGGGCTGCTTGCTTGTTGTTTGTGCATGAGTTTCTCAATGTAATAAAGGTAACATTGTTTCTGTTTTGCAATGTTTAGATGGAATTAAGGTTAAGAATACATTCAGTTATTGAGGACAGAATATATGAAAGGTATGTTGTAAATATCCCCAAATAAAGTATTCTAAACCCAGGAAATACTCAGAATTAAGGTCAGACTTGAAAGTAATCCGAACGAATCAGGGTATGGAAATGCACAGCTATAGCACATGCTGACACTGAAGAAAAATCAGAATTTGCCTTGTCTGTGACATGATCATTTTGTCTGGTCACTAATGAGTAGAGTTGAAATAATTCATGCACCATGTTAGCATATTTCAATACCTTTTCTTAGCTTAAGAAATTCTGGCTTTAAAACAAGTGTAACATTTCTATGAAATGTCTTAATTTTGGGAAGGAACTGAAATGCTTAATTTGTACAGTTTTGATTTTTTCTTTTTTCAGAGCCTGAGTTGTTAGAGATTTAATGCTCCCATTTGGCCTTGATGTTGTTCAACAGCATCCATGTATCTCACCAGCATCCGTGTCATGCCAATTTAGGAGGCTGGCAAGATAACAAATGCAAATTGTAAAACACAAAGGCAGCACCATGCAAGTGTGTAGCTGATTGGAACATTTCAAGTAAGCTCTGGCTGTACAGGTGAGATGATCATGAAAAGTATAAAAGCCAAGCAGATACAAGGGCTTTGTAATTCATACCCTGCACCCTTTCATCTGTGGAGTTCAGTGTGAGAAGGTCATACTCTTGTTCTCTTGTTCAGCCACAGTTGAAGTTTGTGTTTTCAGAACTAGGATTAGAGTTTAGATTGCTTTTTTTTTTTTTTCAATCTTTCATGTGCGATTTTCACTGGGCAGTTCTGTGCCTCTTGTTAAATGAAAGAGAAAGATTGATGTCGGTGGAAAACATGTACAATTTTCCATTATTTTCACATCTTTTCTAAAATCCCTTAACTCATTTAAGGCCTGTAATTTTTGAGCCAACTTAAATTGTGACTGCACACGTACACACATACAGCCTGTGGTAAATAACTGCTTAATTTATTGTCCTGGCTGCATCCTTCAAGCTCACTGAAGAAGTAGGCCTGCCCGAGCAGATTGCTTTTATGGTTCTCCTAATGAAATAGGAGTCTCATTTGGCTCAGATGCTCTGCCTTGAAACACATTTTTCCCCAGAGAGCTATGAAGTTCCTTCATTTGTTCCAGTGGGGTCGTCTTGCTGATGGAATTACCATTGCTGCAAACTGCAAACTTGGGATAATGCTGTTCCCTGTCTCCTCTCCAGCATGCTCTTGCAGAGCAGCCCCCTCCAGGCCTGCATGGCAGCGTGGGCGCTGCTGCTCGCCCCTCCTCCTTCACACCCCGAGCTTGTTTTTTCAAAGACTTTCTTTTTCCCCCCTCTTCCCTGTCCTTTTACTTAATTTGCAGGAGGAGGCCGCTGGCCTGGAGCCATGTTAGGAATAATTAAGGTTACATTATTCATTTGTACTTCTCACAGAGTAAATGTGAACTGATGGGAATCTTTCAAGAAAAAAAAAGAACATATCCTAGAGTCTTCTCTTCTAAGATTGCTTTTCTACAAATGGCACCCTCACCCAAGGCAGGCTATGGTGCTGATTGCCCCAGGGTCCTTTCTTGAGCCTCATTCTCCTTTTTTCATTTAAATAAATTTATACTGCTTCCTCACTAGTGCTGTCAATCTCTTTGCCCTCCAGAAATAGGTTTGTACTCCATCTGTGATTGCAGAGCACCCGCACATTAATTGGTAAAGAGCAGTTATTGTTTGGAGCTAAAGGGGATTTCAGAAGTTGTAGTTTTCTGATGACTTCATAGGGGTATGCTCAAATCTGAGGGACCCATGTTTGTTTACCCTACAGGATATACAGAGAGTCTCAAGATCAGAAGGGAACAGTGATGCCCTTACATGAAAGACTACCTGTGCTTACTATGCCGTTTGTAAATTCATTTGGTTGTCACAATGGCTTCTGGAAATGCATCCTATAGGCACAAGATCACACAGCCTCTTAATGCAGAGGCTTGTTCTGTAGAAATTAAATGCTTTAGTCTGTTTTAAAGGACCATCTCCCCTTTAAACAGTCCTTGTGTTGGCAATCCTTTACTTCTTTGGGAGGTATTTCCAGGTGGTAAGTGCCTGTCTGATGACACTACTTTCATTCAGACAAAACTAATTGTTCTTTGTTGACATAATGGATGTATGTCAAGTCTTTTTCTATAGTTTCTTATCACCCATCACTGTTTTCCCTACCTTGAAATTTTTCTGTAGAGATGGTCACTTAACCTGTGCCAGGGCAGATTGATGTGCACAATCTCTTAGCAAAGCTGCCCTGTATGTAGCTGTGGCTCTACTGGTGGACACTTGCTTTTCTGAAAAAGCAATGTACAGGTAAGCCCAAAATAACCTAATCTCATTCACTCAGCCTATATAATATTGGAAACTTTTTGTGTATTGCTGAAGCACAGATAAAGTGTAGATCTTAATCCAATCCTGCAAGTAGGATCTAATTGCCCTTACTAACAAGAATACTGAAGAGAGAAAAACTCCCATTTTGCTGGCCCAGAAGAGTTGGCTTGGAGCTCTCCATGCCACAGAAGTACTGGCACTTTCACAGGATTTGTTTTGAAAACATTTATTTGATTTTTCTCTACAGTTAAAAAGATAACCTGCTAATAAAATTCACTAGATTACCAATAGAATATTTTCTTCAAGGCACAATGATTCAGTGTTTTATGTAAGTGTTACAGTTGAGAGGCTGGACTTTATTTGTATGAATTCTTCCCAGTAGGAAAAAATTTTTGTTTCACATTACTGACCAATTTAGAAGGCAGATTTCATTTTGCCAACCTGTCTTTTTGAATTGAAAAAGCAACTAGAAAAAGATGTGCTCTCTTGCCATTTTTATTCTCTCAGAGATGAGAAGCCAGCACTGCTTCCCGATTTGTGTGTGTCTTGCATTAATTTTTATTGGATTCCCTCACATCCTTCACAGTAACTTGTCGAAATAGGATTTTGTCTCAGAATTGCTGTTTTCTTTTTTAAAAATCCAAAATCAGCAGAAGGGTGGGAGGGAAGGTGTGGGGGTATTGAGCCTTTTGAAAAGAAAGAAATCTACCGTATTAATAGTGAAACCTTGGAAGAAGTAGAGTCATGAGAATCCAGATGCTTTTTTCTTTTAAGAATCTCTTCTCTGTCACACACTTCCTCCTCTTGTGTTCATCGTTTTTTTGCAGTGTGATATTCAATACTTAAGCTGAAGACTAAGTTTTCAGGAGTGTCTGTCTTTGTAAACTCAGAGTGAGAAGACACTTTTTGTCT